GTGATTGGCCCAAAGTCACCCAGCCGGCTTTCCTGCCTAAGGCGGGACTAGAACTCCCAGTCTGCTGGTGATTGACCTAAGTTCACCAGTTGACTCTCATCTCTAAGGCCGGACTAGAACTCGCCCTCTCCTGGTGACCAACCCAAAGTTACCCAACCAGCTTTGGTGCCTAAGGCGAGTACTAGAACTCACCATCTCCTGCTTTCTAGCCGAGCCCCGTCACCACTACACCAAACCATTTCAGATTTTTTTTTAAAAAAAATTAATTCAGGTATAAGAGATCCGATCTGGGTACCTTGCCACGCTATCCCAAGTCTTTGGAGCGCGCTCTTCGCTCCGTGTTTTAAGATATTTTAGATATTTGGCCATCTGCTGAGCTTCGAAGTCTGGCCTCATCCTCACGAGTGCCTGACTCAACCAACTGGAGCGTTGCTTCCTTCTCTGTTGGAGATGTCAGATAATTCGCTTTTTCTTTCAAAACAAACAAGCCAACCAACCCACCAAAAAAACCCAACTTCCTTAGAAGTATTCAGTCATTAATGCTGGAATCTGCTTTCTGAGCAGTTTTCTCTTTAATAGCGACAGCCCTGAGACATATGCCGCTTCCCAGTGCTTCCCAGTCCCCTCTAAGCGGTTTACAGAGTCAGCCTCTTGCCCCGCAACAATCTGGGTCCTCGTTTTATCCACCTCGGAAGGACAGAAGGCTGGGTCAACCTTCAGCTGGTCAGGATTGAACTGGCAGTGAGATAGCGAGTTAGCCTGCAATAGTGCACCATGGTTCTCCCTCCTTCCCTCCCTTCATTTTCCTTCCTTCCTTCCTTCCTTCTTTCCTTCCTTCCTTTCCTTCCTCCCTCCCTCCCTCCCCCCCTCCCACCCGCCCTTCCACCTACATACCGCTTCACAGTCCTTTTTACAGCCCTCTCTTAGCGGTTCACAGAATCAGCCTCTTGCCCCCCCCCCAAAACAATGTGGCTCCTCATTTTTACCGACCTCGGAAGGACGAAAGGCCGAGTCAACCTTGAGCCGATGAGGATCGAACTGCTGGCAGTCAGCAGAGTCAGCCCGCAGTGCTGCCTTTTAACCCCTGGGCCACCACAGCTCTTAACCCAGCAATTCCGCTCTGGAATCTGCTGCCAGTTGTTTTTAGGGGGGACTGAGCCCCTAATTTCCACCGCCGAGGAAAGCCGTTGCTTTAAGTGAGTTTTCAGCCCACGTTACGACCTTCCTTGCCCCCGGGACCTGCCTTTCCCCGTTGACTTCGCCGGCCGGAAGCTGAATGGGTTGCAAAAGGGAGATCATAGGATCCCACAGGACTCCGCCACCTGTCATCAGTACCTGCCTGTTGCCAAGCGCCTAAATTTGGACCACGTGACCGTGGAGGGGGGCGCGATCGTTGTAAGCACGAGGACTTGGTTGGAAATCGCTTCTTCAGCCGTCTGGCGTAACTCCAGACCGTCGCTAAACAAATGGTTGTAAGTCGAGGGCTTCCCGCAAGGGCGTGGTTTCACAAAGTGGAGGTGGACCAAACCTCGGATAAGATTTGACTCCAGAATTGAGGAGGGTGGCCGTCGAAAAAGGTAAGAGGACCACTTAGAGCAGGGGTCTCTCAGTACGGCAACTTGTGGACTTCGCCTCCCAGAATTCCCCAGTCAGCATGAGTTAGAACAATTAATTACAGTTTAATTAATTAGCAGAACAATGAACCGGTGGAATGGTTTGCCTCCAGAAGTTGGGGTGCTCCGACACCGGACGTTTTTCATGAGAGATTGGGCAACCATTTGTTTGAAATGGTATATAGAGTTTCCTGCCAGAGCAAGGGGGTTGGACTAGCAGACCTCTAAGGGTCCCTTCCAACCGTGCGAATCCCTAATTCTGTAAGGGTCTCCTGCCCGAACAGGGGGCTGGACTAGCAGACCTCTAAGGGTCCCTTCCAACCGTGCGAATCCCTAATTCTGTAAGGGTGTCCTGCCCGAGCAGGGGGTTGGACTAGCAGACCTCTAAGGGTCCCTTCCAACTGTGTGAATCCCTAATTCTGTAAGGGTCTCCTGCCCGGGCAGGGGGTTGGACTAGCAGACCTCTAAGGGTCCCTTCCAACTGTGCGAATCCCTAATTCTGTAAG